TCACAAATGCAACTTCAGATTGGGAATCTGGAGTCTCAGCTGTTTCAGGTCAGGGCGGATATGGAGCGCCAGAATGCAGAGTATCAACAACTTCTAGACATCAAGACTCGCCTGGAAATGGAGATTGAAACCTATCGTCGCTTGCTGGATGGGGAGTTTGTGTGAGTAACTAATTTACATAAAATATCTCCGTTGTTTTATTTTCTGTAGCAATATCCTTTCCAGGAAAAAAGAGGCAAAAACAGGCGGTACATTCACCAGAAGACAGTAAGGCACATACAATGATTCTGAAATACTACAGATACACACTAACGAGAAGAATGAACCATTCTGCTCGGTATTTAAAATAATCTGTCAATGCCAACATGAAAAGGGAATTTCTCCTGATCCTGACAAACATTCTGCAATATTGCGTGTCTCTGATTCACTTTTAGGAGCGCAGGACAGGGAGTTACATTTGAAAGCTCATCCTTGACAGGGTCCAAATCACAAACACAATCACTGGATTCTTCTCAGGGTAGGTAGAACTTGATTGAATAAAATTTTGTTTCTAAAGTCATTCTTATAAACAAAATAATACATGCTATTCTGTTTAACTACATCATAGAGTTCATTATAACAAGAAGCCAGTTTGAAAGGAAAAGGATGTAACTGTTCATGTACTCGTGCTGCTCTGTTTTATAATTTTTAACACTTTGATAAACGTTTTTTTTATTTTGTTTATGATGCTTAGATCCTACCAAAACTAGAAAGATCAAGACAATTGTTGAAGAAGTGGTAGATGGAAAAGTTGTTGCATCCCATGTTAAGGAAGTTGAAGAGAAGATATAAGGCACAATCTGATATTGCAAAGGATGCGTTCACTCCATGTTTTTTCAAAGCCAAAATGGATAAATAATTTGGTTCTTTCGTATGAAGTGATAAAAATAGATTGGCTTTTTACTAAGGTTTTTTTACATAAGCCAAAGCCTTCATTTTCATTCTTAGCAGTCATGCAATATATTTTCTGCTTCAGTCTATTGGTATTACCGGTATTATTTTTACGGTGTTCTTTAAATTTATCATCAATTCTTTGTTTAATAGCTAGAAATATGGTGCACACAGTAGGCATTTAATTAGATATGCTTTTTTGTAATTTTTAGTAATTAATAGATAAAATAATTTTGCTATTCTAACTTCATTTTCCAGTTTTCTTGACTAATAAAAAGGACTCGACAAGCTTTAAGATATTAGTCTCCCTTTATTCTTCATTTAGGACTGCTGCTCCTGATCCATATTTGCCATTTTGTCGGTTATCTTGCTTTACCACATACTATGCGTGTGGTACAGTACTCCCCATTAATTTAAAGAAATTAATCCATGCTAGAACACGTACACATTAAAAAAAACTGTTTCAATGTGGGATTAAAGGAATACTTGCTAACTTATAATTTAAAGTTACCAATTCAAGAGAGAAGTTTTTGCAAACAGAACAACATACTGTAGATACGCAACTATAGTGGAAAAGAAGGGATCCCCTGGTTTCCAAGCAGGCAGCAACCCCAGCCATGACGCGCGGTTCCACGTCCCGGAGTGCCATCTGGTGGGAGCACAATATGATCTTTCGGCTCCTGAACGGGGCTTCAGGATGTCCAGCTCAAACCAACTATTTGAAGGAATCTCATCCAAAACAAAATTATGAACCAAAATACGATCCCCTTACAATTGACACCTAAGCCTTTGTTCCTGAGCCAAAACGCTGACGATTTTTCTGTGATTCCTAGCTAAGACAAGGAAGTTACCGTGACCTCTTACATGCATATTACTGTGTCTCTAGAATACAAACGTTCTGCACATTCTACCACATCCCTTAAACATTTGACCCCATCCAAGATTTCAATGGGAGCACAGATTTCATACTGTGCTTCCATTCTGCCTTTTGTAAAACCCACTAGTAGCATTTTTTCTGCTTCCTGCTTGGAACTCATAAAAGCCAGGGTAATTAAAACAACAATCAAAGAACTAAATCAGCATGGTAGAATCACAACATCTAAAATCCAGTCAGTTAAAGAAAAGGCACTGTGATAAATAACCCAAAGGAATGAAATAGAAGAATCTTCTATATATGCCAGTACAAAGAGGGAAGAACTTGAAAACCTCTTGAGTAAATGCACCATCTTCAACAGTTTAAGGAAGTAATTTCTTTTCTAAAAGCATGGAACACAACTGTACCTCTTTTTGTTCCCCTTTAAGAACAGTGCTGATAAATAAATGAAAAGAATCTTACTACATGCAACATATTTCAGTAAGATTTTTACTGTTGCAGACTACATTTTTTAAATTAAAATAACTACAATAAAAATTAAAATAATGATATCAGAAATGGCAAATTGAGGTTGTTTATGTAGCTGGGTATGATTACCAAGAGTACCGTTACAGAGAAATTTTAGGAATATAGATTGAAGGAACTTTTTTCTCTTCCTAAGACAGGACAGCATTCATCAGCTTTCTTTCCTATCCATAATGTTTTTTCTCATATGTGGAAAACCTGAAACCATAACATCCTCCTCATTATTAACATCGTCTCCATTTTGAAGAGAAAAAATGAGTCTCTTTTGTCTTCTTCTTCCAAAGACATATATGCTTTCAGTATAAATGTATACCAAGAAATAGGAAATACCATACATACCTCAAGGACTGCAACTGTGATTGCTACGACATCATTATTCCCTACATCGTTCAATGTAGATTGCCACTGAATGCAGTTTACCCACATACACAGTAACCCTGAATCGAACATTATGATCTAAAAGACAACTGAGAATTGCCTAGGGTGCAGTTTTGAAGTATGTAAGATTTAGAAAGCACTCTAGCTATTGTCTTGTGAGAAAGCAACAATGGTAAACCAAAGCAGTCTGCAATCACTATAGCATTATTACACGGTATCACAGAATCCAAATAATTGACGCACAGTATCTGAACTATTAAGTTAACTAAAGTCCAACATCTGTAATAAAATATGAACATTGAAAGCAGCTAGAATTCAGAATTATGTAAATCCTAGTAAAGATACAATTGCTTACATCTACCTACCTTTAGCCTTCAGGGATCTCATAGCCAGATGTACCCTTTACACCTGAAAAGAAGAAGGAAAAAGAAAGCATTAGGGCTAATTTATTTTTCAAAAGCTTTAAAAAATTTTATCAACTCGCAAACATTTAGCTCCTGGTAATATGAAGATTCATCCATAGATGCTTGTTGATGCGTAAAGTTTGGTCTGTGGGACCAAATCCAATATCCCTGCAGACCTCTATATTGTATTTCAAACATCCATTCCTGGATTCATTTCTGGACGCTAGACAGCCTTGACTTTGCCTGATGTAAACAGAAGACGTTCTGAGTCCCAGGGAACTGAAAGCAAACTGTAAACAATCAGTATTGCAATGCAAAGAAAAAGGAAGGCTTTAAATTACATTTCAAGTTCTTATTTGGTTAAATGCATAGGCTCTTCCTATTAATACTTATACTGTCCTAAGGTATAACATCTCATGTTTGTCTGATGGATTCCTAATGTTTTTATTATGTGACTGTTCTCATACCATCAATGAAAAACACTGTCAATATTTTGGATTTAGAACTACATAAAACTAGAATAATTAAAACACTTGTCGAAAAGATAGTGGACAACAAAACATTCTCATCTCGGTCCAGGTCAGCTGAAAAACAGCCAGCTAAGAAAAATAAAATCAGAACACAGGATCCTTTTACATGTGCCAGCAGACAGAGCCAAGAACAAGGAAGCCTTATGCACACAAGGAGACTTTTAAGTGGTACAATATTTTGACTTCTAAAGAGACAAGTGTCTTGTAGAAGTTGACTGCCTTTTTTTCTCATTTTACTGATGTATATTCTTATTTGGAGCCTAAAAATGCATTCTATTTAGTGAACTTTTATTAATTTTACTGAAATCTGAATTTTTTTACTAAATATCTGGTATTGCACGTTACTGAAAAAACTTCAAAAAATAGGTAAACACCGTTCTTAGCAGACAAGATCATTTGGATCATATGGTAGATACAGTGAGCCAGGAAATTATTTGCAGAAAATACAGCACAGCAGACAACCTATACTTTCTACCTCCCTGGTACCTGTCAGGAAAGGTGTAAGGATCTTACATAATCTGCATATTCTGTGACCTGAACACACTGACCCACGCAGAGGTACCGGGAGCACCTTCAGAGACAAACCAGACACTTTTTCTGACGGCAGTTACCTATGTTTGAAGTGTTAATTCACCAGAGCTTTGCACTCTACAGAAGAGGAGCAAAGCCCTTGGCACAAGGTGCACAAGCACTCTCTACCACGAGTAGTGCTGGTTCCTCTTCCTCTTTTTGTGTTCCTGCCCATAAAAACACCGAAATGTTGGGTGAGAGGATGTCCAGGAGCCCAGCTCTTTTTCAAAACGGGACAGTCCTCAACACTAGATCAGGTCAGCCACCTGAGGCTTCGCCTCGCTGAGTCTTAAAAACCTTCAAGGATGGAAATTTGGTACCATCCCTAGATAACCTGCTCCAGTGCTGCACAAGTGCCTGGGGAAGGCACATTCCAGCAGCAGCACTGACACCAATCCAGGTGTACTGCTGGGAAGCTGTTCTTCCCTGCCCCGCTGCGAGTGCACTCTCGTGCTGTGCAGCTGTAATTTTGTCCTTTGCTCACATTTTTGAGCTTATAAAACCCCACAGTTATAGTGTAACAAAAACATACGGACATTGTATGTATTCATTTCAGCACAGAATTTAGGAATCATTTTAATCGCTGCAAAAGCGACAGATCTTTGCTTTTAGAAACGATTGGAAGCCTCTGACCTTCCAGCGCTTCCGCAAAAATAAAGCTCTGCAGCTTTAAAATCTGCCTGTACTTTCTGCCTCTCTCTCCTCTCACTGCAGGCAGTGAAGGCGCTGCAGCAGCCGGCTCATCCTATCAATAAGGTTCGGTTAGCCAAGGTGGAGGATGGGAGGAGAATGGAACTGTCCCAGCTCCTCAATGAGATCAGGGCAAAGTATGAAACGCTCGTCACCAGAAATCAGATAAAGACCATCATCTCAGCAAGGACCCAGGTAATGACTTCATACAGACATACACCTTCCAGAGTAAGGAGACAATCCCTGTCTATACAATTCCTCCCTCAGCCTCTATGAGGTACAGTATTTCCTTTTCAATGCAGCATATTATTGGGGAAGGGATTTTGATTTTACTGCAGTAAGATGTGAACTAGAAGATACGGAAATAGATTTTGTTTAGGGTATGAAATTCACACTAAACGAATGCTGTGTAATTCATCTGGGTGTTTTTCTGTACCTGCAACAGTGATATTGTTGTGATTTAAAAATGATGACATATGCTGTAACATGGTAACCTCTAGCACCATTTAGTTATCCCAGAGGAAAAGAGAATCTTGAAAATCTAAGGCAATGTAAAGAATCCATTTATATACAGAAAGCTTTACCATTTTTAGCACCTATAGTAAAGAAAACTGTACCTTTTCAAGAACTATTTTATATTGTTCACAGTAAAACTATGTCATACTCTGCAGCAAATATCATTTGTTCTTTCATACAGATTGATTAAATGTTATCAACACACAATGCTACTATTATAGATTTGCATACAAAACATCTCTAAAACCCATCTGAACTTTGAAATAAAACGGCAAAACAATTTTCGGCCACCAAACGTCAAGAAATTCAGGGTGAAAATTAGGCATTATATCACCCTGTTGTACTTCTTAGGTATTGCAGAAATTCTGGAGGGTTTTTTTAACCACAGGCCAGGCTACTGCTGCAATCTGGCTGATCTACACAGTAATCCAATGACACACAGCAGCTATAAACTAGACAGTTAAGCCAAGCTTATATTTGTGTTCAGCACAAAGCAGCCAATGTTATTGATATAATCTTGTCACATAAATTCTGCAGTACCCAGGCAAAAAAGGATAAGCAAAGAATATTGAGTGTTCACTTGTGGATTAGCCAAATCCAGATTTTTCACCAAAATGATGGCATGGAGTAATTACAATGGGTCAGTATGTTACGGGGGAGAAAAAGAAACTTATTTTACTTGCTTCATAAGACCTGAATTAAAGAGTTTATTTCCTTAGCATTGATGGCACCATAAGAACCTACACAAAGCAGTAAAATATGCAAAAGAGCATGTATTGTTTCAAGTGCTTATGGCATCTTCACCACTTGCAGTAAAACTCAGAATCAAAAATGAAAAATAACTTTCGTAAGCAAAACAGTCATTCTGGAAGTTAAATGCATGAACACATTATCTAAATAAGAGATGAGCCCAAATCTAAAATGACCCCACACTGCTCAGGCTTGGCTTAAAAAAAATACTTTTAATAGGATTATAAAATAACCAAAAAACCACATTTTCTTGCAAACACAATACAGTGCTTGTTTGACTATTTACTTTTTACCTAAGAATAAACTTCAGCCTTAAGGATGGCAAATTATCTCAAATAATATTTTAGATCAGGATTAAGCTTAGAACAGGCACTTCACTTCTGAATTTTCACATTTAACATGGGTGACAGCAGATACTCAAGAGAACACGCCAATTTTTTCCTTCCTGTGATAGATAATCTTAAATAACCTGTCCTTAGAAGACAAGGAAAAGTTGTAGATTTGGATAAAGATGCTATTCATATTTAAATGAACGGAGGTACTTGCTCTCAAAAGACAATCTGAAATCTAGTCAATGGCTAAATCAGGCAAAAACATAATTACAGCTATTGTCAATTGTGATATATTCATGCAACCACTCAAAAGTGCTCCCTCTCTAAAGCTGGTCTTAGAAATCAAAAATACATTAAAAACAAAGAAAGAACCTTATTCAAACCTGGAACCTTGAACTGACTGCGATTCCTCTAATTTCCATGAAGTTAAGCCCATTTACTCCAGAGGTGAATAAGGTCTAAATGCAACTGGTTAATTTCTGTGGGAATTCCTCTACAACAAATACGTTGGGGATAAAGAGGCGGCCAACTGCTTCCCATCAAACACAGCAGGATAAGGGCTTCCTGTCTACACGGTGCCTACAATATTAACTCATCACTGTTAGCTTTAACAAATTTATGAGACTCTAAAAAAATTCCAACTAGAGATTTTTATCATTATTTGAATGTTTTTTAATATTGTTATCTTTTTTATATCCCCTGCAGCTAAAAGAAGCTACAATTAAAAGAATGGACAAAGATGCAGAAGCATTAAAGGCAGCCAGAGCAGAACTCTGTGAAGCGAGACGGCAGTGGCACCATATGCAGATCGAAATTGAATCTCTCCACGCTGTGGTAAGCATCATAAAATGAAACTTGAAATCTCCTGGAAAAAATAAATCTTTTTCTTGATGTAAACTATGCCACAATTTATGTCACATCACGTCCACTCTGCAACGGAAATACAACACACACAGACATGCGTAGCTTTGCGGTGGACTTTCAGCTCGTCACACAGAGCACGAACCCCGCCATTTGCTCACATTTAAGAGCATCGCACGTTTTGATTCAGGATCTGCCATTCAATATACGCGTGTTTTCATGCCTGCCAAACATACTTGCATGACACTCCCTCATCAAGTTCCTGGTTACTCTGCCTAAACAATTCACATCAGGTTCATAACTTTTTTTGAATGTGTGGACCAAATTTATCAATTCATTCATGATAAAATATGTCAGCAATTTACTGAATTCAGTAATATAGATAGGCTACAAGAGCACACAGACCACTCAGCTCTCCTACAGTACTGAGCTGGATATCGTTTTAACCATACAGGTAAAATCAGAGATCTGTAAAATCAATGGCAGTGGTTTGCTGGTACAACAGGCGGCTACATTTTTTTACCCTATCTTAAATTATTACAGATTTTACTGCAAAATTTCTCAGCAAAAGTATTATCTTGAAAGCTTTACTCCTGTTCCTAAAGAGTATTCTTAAAAGAACTGATGTAAAAATACACAGCTTGTTAATGAAAAGTATGCATAACATCTTTACACATATGCTTTCCAAATCTTAAAATATGAGTTATATTTCACAGGAAAAGGGTTTGGAACGCTCATTGCGTGCCACAGAGCAGCAGTACCACATGCAACTACAAAATTTAGAAGCTGAGATTGAATGCTTAGAGAAAGAGCTACTGGAAGTGAGAAGAGGTATTGAGAAACAGCTTCAAGAGCACGAAATTCTCCTGAACACGAGGATGAAACTGGAGGAGGAGATAGCAACGTATCGCAGTCTGCTTGAGCAAGAAGAGAACAGGTACTTGTTGTTTAGAGAAAAAGTACTCAAACTGATCTTCCATGTCAGAACTTCTCATTGAAATAATCATCAGAATTGTAAATATATGACCCAATCATTAAAAAATTACAGTATAAAATCCTTAGAAATGGTTTCATTGTAACTTAACTTCACTGATTCCGCACTTTCTGGAGCTGAGCATCTCCACGATGCATTGCAGATAACAGCACGCTTACTGCACCCTCACTCGAGGCCCTGCGTGTTGATGCAGACTGCATCCCATTAGCTGCGTGAGGTGGGCTCTGCTTGTCTCAGACCATTGATGGAGCAAGTCCACACGCGTGAAGTTCTGGGAGGGGAGTTCACGTCTCATCGTGTGACAGATGCCGTTTGCGTGGGGAGTTCATGCTGCTCCGTATCGTTCAGTGTGCTAAGGCACACAGCAGGATGCTATTTAAGAATATGCCTCCTAGTGACATGTTGCTTTGGTTGCAACTCTTCAGGTCTGCCCTTTCCCTGGCACACCCCCCCCCCCAGTATTTTGAAACGTGGACATGAGAGAGGCAGCTATACCAATGTAAACAAGGAGGATAAGGAAAAGGCAAAGTACCCTGTCTTGCACTCAGCACTGTTATCTTCACAAAACCAGGCACGCAATTCTGAAATCTTTCAGTGGAACGTTGCCCCTCTCAGGCCTTTCTACAGAAAATGGAGAGCGTCAGTCCAGGAACCTCTCACGTTTGCTTGAGAAGATTCCAAACGGGGGAGTCAGTTTCAGATTCAATGCTTCTAACTCTGTGAAAATGCACACAATTCAGTACTAATAAAATTCAATAACTCTTCCTAGCACACAACAAACTGACTAAAAACTGTCCGAAAATAATGATGAAATTGCGCAGATATTTTTGGTAACTTTCTTCATTTCTATACTCAGAATGAGAAATCCTAACAAATAGTTCCTACAATCAAACAGAACTTCTCATGGTTCTCGTATTTTTAATTTTTTCATAGCTGTTCATAAGACAAGTTTTGGATTAAAGTAATTCAGTATTATTAGATGACTGTAATAATTTTTATTTTTGCAGGTTTCGTTGCTCTGTACCTGACCAGAAGGATGACAAAAAGCCTACCACCAGCAAGATTGCCTTTACACTGCCTTCAGGTGACTTTTTAGACACTTTACCCTTACGGGATTATGGTTCCTAACTACTGGCAAATTACTGGATATTACAAAAGGATCGTCTTCCAATGCGGCAGGAGGGAAAATACCTCTAGGTCCTGTGTCCTGGCCTTACTCTTCTGCATACCTAGTGTATCTGCATTTTCTTTTACAGATGGTGTAAAGAAGCATGAAACTGAGAAGGTGGAACTGATGACAAAACAAGCAATCCTAGATGGAAATATTATGAAGGAAAGCGCTGAAGCTCATGGCACTGTACAGTAAGATAAACGTGAATTTAACAAAATAACAGTTGAAAGTAAATGGTGGGCATTACACTCCAGTAGCTTTGAGTTCTCCTTTATTTAGTATCTGTTATATCATGCCCAGACAGCCAAGAAGCTCCAGAATAACAGCGATAGTTTCTGAAGGTATATTGAATGGCATGTTTTAACAATACATTAAATTTTAAAGTTCTTTTTATTAGCATTTACTTCATAAGCTAACAATATCATGATGATGCTTCTGATTTGTAATTTCTATTTCTGTTAAGAATGAAACTATGAATAATTAATCTAGTTAAGGCTGAAAGCAAAAGAGCCCATACCATGTTTGTTAAGTCCCTCTGGGGCATATTTATGCACATAAATTCAGGCTTGGCTGCTCTAACTTGCTATTTGGAAACTCCTACGTTTCACCAATTACCAAACAGGGAACGGAGGCTCCTAAATGGGCATGTGAAAGTCTGCTAGTAGGTATTATTCACCTTAAATTACTTTAATAGTATTGGACTGCCTCATTCTTTTTTTTTTTTTTCTGCTGCTCTTTAAGCTCTTTTGTAGACTAGCATTTAACATTACATTTAAAACAAACAGTAGTGTCCCGTGTCACTAACACTGAACTGTAAGCATCTGTTGAAAACGTATCGAAATCCGGATTAAAAATTAATGCCATCGTGTGGTCCACCATACACACTCCACAGCTGAAGCTTATTTTCCTACACGAGCTTTGTTCATCTTACACCGTCAGTCCGATCTGCACGGGGCTGCTCGACTGGGTACAGTTTACTCTATCTGAGTAAGGCCCCAGAGTCGGACTTTTACATCTGGACCCTGACACATAGTCAGAGGATGAAATCAATAGGATTTGGGTGCCTATATATTATGGAATCAGCTGGGTTTTCATTTCTCCGTATTTTACTTCTGCCCTTCTTTTCTTTTGTAATTTAATGTAGATCTGCATTCTGAGGTTTGGATCTGAACTAGATTTTTCTCCTCCCTATTTTGAAGGCATTCAGATGCAGGAATTCTGTCCTGCCCACTATAGTACAGAGGTTTCTTGCAAAGTTTTTGAGCTTGGATTCCAAACTTTCTCCTTGGAAACAAACTGCCTGATGTGTTTGGAGCAGTGGTTTTGTACCCATGTCTACTTAAAAGTACAAAAAGAAGAATATAATGAACCCTCACCCTTTATTTAGCTTTTCTGGAGAATGAACCTGTGGAAAAAAAAGAAAAACTCTAGTGTCTCAGTGCCCATCTAAAATAACTTGACACTTTATTATGCAATTTCTCTCTACATTTTAAAAGCCGTCCTGAAGATAGATAATTCATATTGCCTAAAGGGTCATAAATACATTTGATATATTGTTTCAGGACAGAAAAAGTGGATGAAGTCATTAAAGAATGGGAAGGTTCTTTCTTTAAGGACAACCCTCGCTTAAGGAAAAAATCAGTTTCATTGCGCTTTGATCTCCACCTAGCAGCAACGGATGAAGGATGTTTACACACTAAAAAGAAAACCCTTCCCGACATTGAAGTCAGGCTGGTAATGAGGAGATCTTGCAGTATTCCTTCTATCAAACCTTAACCTACAGCAAATTAACCCAAAGTTCATCTCCAACGAGCTCTGGAAATAAACTGTAGATGGACTTACATGGCCTCCTATCTTGCTACAACTACGAAATCTTACTAAGTACTTTGATTAATACGATAAAAACATACAAGTCTTTTAAAAGAAAGGGAGAAGAGCAAGGGAATTAAGATTCCAAGAAACCTAACTTCTACTAGTTTTATACTCTGGGTGCAGCCCTTTAATTTTCTCATTATTGTTGTTGTTTTGTAGAATTTCACCAAATATTAGAAAAAAATTAAACTATAACTTTATACTTTGACATATTCTGCCTATGTAAAAGAGAACTTGTTTTCTCTTTCTGGAAATGAGAACTGCATATTTCATTCTCTTAATTGTTCAATATTGCATATGTATAATGACTGATGAATCCTTGTAATAATTTATATCACAACCATCATACTTCTTGAAATCTGTTTTAAAATAACACTTTCTAACAGCAAAAATTACATACAAAATGCTCTTAAAATATATAAACTATTAACGAAGAATTTTCTTTTAAAAGTGGCTGGCATTTTAAATTTTTTTTAGGCAACAACTGAGCAAAAATGTCTTTCCCCTACATAATTATACAAACATTTTTAAAGGTGTTGTTACAAACCAATAATATTTTAGCCATATTGTTCCACGCATTTCGAAGCAGGAATTTCCATTGAAAATCAATCATTCTCTTATTTGTCCACACATATGTGTACTACAACTTTCTTAGCCACAGCAAGTAAAATTCTACCCTTTGATTGTTCAAATGTAAGGAGTCAATCAACTATTCTAATGCTGGTATTAATTCATTTTGTGTATTATAACAATGTGAATTAAAATATTGTCGACAAATTCCTCTTCTGACAAATCTTATAGGTAAGTTATGCTCTTGATCTAGTACACGTAACAAGTCACTATTACGTCAGGGTACCACTAGTATATCTTCAAATTAAATGGACAAAATAAGGGCTACATATTCAAAGTAAAATTCTACCATACCCATTAAGTATCCCCCACTCCTACTCAAAGTAGCTACAGGAAAATACAAAGTACAGTAGATGATCTTGCATCTGTACACAGAAAAACCAGAAATGCAAGCTCAGACATACTTCTTTATAACATTAGGAGACAAATTTCAAACAAAAATTCAAACAAAATTGTACTAAGATGAGAGCGATTGCTTATGAGGATTTTTAAGAGGCACGGATGTCACAAACTCTCACCGAAACCACTGGGATTGCAGGGGCTCAGAATCTAGAAAAGCAGCGTACCGTATGTGCTAGATTCACAGCAGCATGTAAAAGATTAATTTAAGTGTCAGTATTTGCCTTATTACTTACGGCATGTGTTACAAAAACTGATACTACAAATTCTTTCAGTGCTAAGTTATGCTTCTAACTTTTGTTAATGGTAAGACCAATGCAGTTACATTGCCCACAGTTCTATATCTACTGTATGAAGCTGGCTAATTATCATTAACCCTAATACTGATCTGGTGTTGTTAATACTTGAGTATTTGGCAGCCTGAATGTATTAGCCTGCTCTAGCATTTTCACTATGCAGCTTTTTTTGTGCTTATACTCTGTACATTTTACAATACTTGAATTTAAACTACGTTTTAATTGTTTTAAGGCACTTTAAACAGGGATACGAATTTACCAAAGTAAATGATAGTACTACAATAAAAAAGTATTAAAATTGAGTTTGCCCATGCATATTTTGTGAGTTTTAACGTGTGCACCTTAAAAGGAAAGAAGTAACAGAAATACAAAATAAAAGTTGTAGATAAGAGAATCTGTAGCGCTGCAACCAAGTGTTTTCTAAGCTCCCCGCTACAATTAGAAAGACACAAATTCCCTAAGAATCTTTATCATAACATGTAAGGTGAGTGTCCTCCTGCTACAAAAGTTACTTTTTCTGGTAAATCCATTAACCCTGACCAGATCTGAAGTCCTTTGTTCCAAGTAGCACACAAGAACAGAAGACAGCATCTGGCATACAAAGTTAAAACTAAAAGATAAGCTGACAGGCAAAGGTAAATAGCAAGCAAATATGTAACAGAAAGCTTAATACACATGCCTTTAAAACGGCTCAGGCAGGCTTCCTCATGCAGGAAGAGCTTGCATAGGCACATAAAAATTACTGTACAAATACATGGAAGGTACCGCCATCTCTACAGCAAACAATAATGGAATAATCTTACTCACCGACACTTTTTTTTCTTTAACCAGGGGGTGTTTGGCTTAATCTCTGACCTACGGTACTTCTTGGGGTATTACCTTCTCTAGTGTAACTCCAGATTTTTTTTTTTACCTAATGATAGAAACCTCGTCCAGCATAGCAGAGAACACATACCTGACTTCACCTTGCAATACAACCTCCAAATTATTTTGGAAAAGAAAAATTACTGTGTATCTATAGTAAACATTGTCTGGGATACTAAGTAAGTAGAAAAAAATGTTGACCTTATTTGTACATGTTATTTCATCCATATAATGGCCTGACCTCACGGTCTCTGAAGCCATCTCCCTGACCCCAATGACAGCACAAGTTCATTCTGAGCTGTCCTGTGACGACCAATCCATTCCACCCACAGAAGCTGCCATTGTTTAACACCAGACTCAACTGCTCATGAAATAGACAGCTTCTGTTTGAAGTTTGACACAACTGACATAAACCCAGTTATACTGTTTTATGACCATGAAACCTGATGTTCTAAGGAAAAAAAATAAAAGTCTGCAGTTTAATAGCTGTTTTTGTTAACACACGACGTTCTGCAGGCAGCCCGCTCTTACCTGTTCACAGCCATTTTCTTCTGTGGGGCTTCCTGACACTGACTTCATTAGCTGCATTAAGAATTGCTGCTACTCTAGACTTGGTTCAAGCGTGCATCCTCATTTTAACTACGTTCCCTCCCCTGACAGTACATATATACCTTTTTCATAATTCACAAATCCCGTCTCTTCAAATGTAAAGCGCTTACTCTTTTCTTCATAAACTACTCAACCTTCCACTAGTGTCAGCGCGAACTCCACGTGGGCATAGGAAAAAGAAGTATTCACAATAACATCTCACCCTGATTTTAGATCACTTCAAAGCCGAATTAAAAAATATAACACTGAAGCCTGATAATATGGCAAAGAATTCTTCACTTCTGTGCTGCCAATTAAATTCAGACCAGCTGAGCTACTGCCATCTAATACCTGCAAACGTCTGGCGTACAAATGAGTTTCATTGTCTCAACCTACTTTCCAATGAATATATGTCCTCATTACAAAGCTTACGAAACTGTTGCTAATTAAAACAGTTGGATAAGAGCCAGCAATTTAGAGCTCCCTGGTTAGTACGATGCAGTATAAACAATCCCATAAAATCAGTAAAACTACTTATGTCAAAGAGTATCCTCAAAAGTGCACACAGGCAAAATCTTTCACTATCACAACATGGAAATCAGGCAAATAGCAAAGTGAAAAAACCCATCCATAAACCAAAGTAAGGAATATATTGCTGGCTTTGGAAACACATACAATGATTCAGAACTATTACCATGGAAAGTGAGCATCAGTAAATGTACTTGAACACTGTAAGAAGTATTTCAATAAGCTGCACAAACTTAGAATTTATTTTAACGTTGTCAACACTAAAGGCATTTTAACACTATCAACAAACCCATGTTTATTAATAAACTAAAGATGAATGCATGAAGCAGTCAAACACGGGAAAAAAACAGGTTATTTTTCACCTTTTAACAAGTATTTTCTCACCTTTTCTTTACAAATGTTCTGCCCAGGTGAAACTGTAGACTAAAGAGAGGCGTATTTGGCTGGCTGGCTGACCGAGGAATCTTTTCAATGCTTACATTCTTTTAATTATCAAATCGCAGTCAGATTATTGTGCTGCATGTCAATAAATTTCCATTATGGCCACAGATAAGCACACTGTGGGCAGATGAGGGCAGAGTTCTTGTCCCTTTTATTTGTTCACAAAAATGTGCTTATTTAAGAACGAAAGCAAACTGGGCTAGACAAACAGTAGGCATCAAGAAGAAACGTGTCTAACTTGCAGCAACTTGGTATCATATTGTTAGTTTTTCTTCTTTTCCCCTTCTACTGTCCTTTTGGGTTAGGTAGGTATCATCTATCTTTTTCCATTCAAAAAAAAAAAGAAAAAATACTTCTGCTATCTTGTCATGAACATTCACCGTTTGGCTTTCCTTCAGCTGCTACATTGATCCACTACAATCCTCCTTTATGGATGTCTAGAAATTAATCTTATTAGCCATATGACAGCATCTCAATGCCAAACTTTACATTTTCATTTTTAATTCAGTCAGTTTAACAATTTTCACTGTGTAAAAGACTCCTACGCTGAATGCTGAGGTCTGAAATTCTTCACCTTCCTCGCTCAGACCCACATGGTGTACCGTGTTTTATATTTGCAAGCTTTTTACCTCCGTGTGATACCCTCACAAATTTCTGCAAGAAATTGTTCTAGACAGTTCCACTGCTCCCAGTGTACTCTGTAATTCATAATCCTCTGTGACAGAGTGTTTGAGTTGGTCTGATTTAGTTCAAAGTTATAATCTAGACAGGTTTATAACCCAGGGTCTTTCCTGCAGCCTGGTGACCAGCCTTCCTTAACGCCACTCCACAGGCTGACCCGCTTGCTCTAGGCCTTCTTCTGTGCGTGCCCTTCCATCGACACACCGGCACCTTCCCGCCTTTCCTCATGCCACGGCAAGCACGACCGGACCGAGGGCCGCATCCTGCTCCTCTTCAGCCTCTCCTCGAAGAGATGCCATCCCCAAACCACCGTTTCAGCACCGCGCTGCGTACTTTACACAGACAAAGGGTTCCCCAGCACTGCCGGGACCGTTCACCTGACTTTATGGGATTTATTCGGGCGCAGACACTACGCTGCCGCATTTGTCCAGACGCCTCCCGGGCAGCCCCGGGACCAAATCGCCTCAGGGCGCCGCC